TAATTATTTTTATTATTAAATTACTTATTATTATTATTATAAAATATTCAGAATACTAATAATAAAACAAATCCACTTAAAATTAACAGGAAAAACCAAAATATAATTTAAAATAAATGTACTACCGTCCACACCAAAAAGGCCTACCTTGCGGGACGCAGCCTTTGAGTTTAGCCTGATTTATAGATTGCCTTCCTTCCTTCCGTAGAAGATAAGCAATACAATCCCGTACGGAAAATTATAAACGGCACTACGGTTTTCGTATTGTTCATCTTTTACGGGAGGAAGGGAGGAGGCAGGGAAGACAATCTATAAATCAGGCTTACTGGTAAATTAACATTATTTATGTTCTGTAAAATTAACCTTAAAATCAAGATACATACACCTTAAAATTGACATTTGACAGTTTGATGAAGGCCCTTGAGAGGCTTACAAGTCCCTCTGTAAGAAACACAACGTTGAAAACGATTATTAATCTGTATAGACAGAGCACAAACCCACAGCACAAGAATTGTAAACAACAAAAATGGCCGCTGATAAACTCAGTGCAGTGATTTTTAGTATTTTTAAGTTAAAAAACACAAGATATACCTAACAGACCTTGTGTGGATTGTGGCTCTGGTTAAATTTATTATTATTGGCGTTTATTTGTTTTTTATAGGTAATTTAACAAAGAAAAAACATAATAAACCTTAAAAATTTAATTTATTTAAGAGAATATACTTTATAATATAAGTATTAAATATTATTCGATTTTAAAGGTTATTATTATTTTGTTATTGCATTATGCAAACGATTAACGATTTGTTTTTTTATTTTTATTTATTAAAAATCGTGTTAATTTTATAAAACATGTGAAACGCGCCTTATCCATAAATTTGTATTTGCAAAACGTCGCAACCAATTAAATGACGAGGTTGGAACGAGCCTATAATTGAGTTTGGTAACAAACCAACAACTATGAATCAAAACTAGGGATTTTAATCATTTTATTTCTTGCAACAGGCGTACCACAATTATTACATTGTACAAGAAGTAGTCGACTAATGCTAATATTATACTTTTGTAAATAAAATAAATACAATATACAATGCTTTAATTTATCGGTTCATTTAATGCAGTAAAAATTATTTCAGTGTTCGAGTTTTAAAATAATATACTTTCGAACTTAATTTTTACATTACTTAATGCATTGTAAAACACATTACCAAAACATCACACATTGCTTTCACCTTTGTAATATTAATTTAAAACAGTATACTATAACAATATGTACCGCAATTATTATTTCTATACTTGTTCTTTACAGAAACAAGTTTTATGTTCTCATTAGGAGCGTAATTTATTAAATAGTAATTTGGCGCGACGCCGTATTGCTATTTATTGAATAAATACAATGCCTTGTTCCAGGTATATTAAATAGCAAACGGCGTGCCATACCTTATATTCTTTTTCTATGTGCCATATTGCAGTGTGCGGCAGGTTGGCCAACCGTGTTATTTCCATGGCGGGAATTATAGCTCTAGTGGGAATAGTTGGTTACTAACCTTTATTATTTTCCATTATACCTACTTCTTTATCTCTGTTATTTTCCACATATTATCAGTGTTTTTGTGTATCCTTCTTTATCGCTGTTACAAAACCTAAGCAATGAAGTAAGGTAATTGATTAAAATAATCAAATTTTTTGTGTATTTATTGTTTATGTATTGTAGATGAGTGATCAAAACGACTATGCCATTTCAACAATAGTAAACGCGGCCAGGGCGGCTATAAGGCAAGAAAGGGTAGAACAACTAATGCAAACAACCCGTAATAACTTTCGACCATCTTTCCACTTAGGAAGCTCAAGTAGTCCACGAAATGGGAGGCCCAGAACTGGATGTAAAAAAATTGTCCTATTTTTACTACGGAGGTCAAATGTTGACTACTACCCTGCAGTTAATGAACGTTCCTTTTTACAAAGAAATGGATGTGGTATGTACCTATAAAATACTTATTATAAGATTGGTCTGTTTATTTACGAACATAACATTGTGGTTCCATTTAAAACGATCCACCCTAAAGAAGTTTTTTTTGGAAAAAGTGTTTTGTTTTAATAGTCTAAGTACAGGTTTATATTCATTATATTCAGCAGTGTTTTTCAATCTTTTTCATGGCACAACCCCCCAACATGTAAAATATTTTGCGACCCCCTAGCCTGGATTAGTTTTATTAAAAGTATTACAAATATTAAATCTGTTCAACATTTTGATTTATTAGCAGGTATTGCATACCTAGTAGGTATTTACCTACTTTATTACCTAATATGAATTTGACTAATGGGTATTTTTTAAATTTTGTTAATTTGTTAGCCTACAATAAATGTCATTTAATTAACATAAATGTTGGAAAATTTTCCAAATAAAAATATATTTTAAACTTTGTTTTTTTCTCTAAGGTTTCGCGGCCGTCCGCGACCCCCTATTTGAGGCTTCGCAACCCCCTAAAGGGTCGCGACCCACACTTTGAAAAACACTACATTAAAGTAAACTGACAAGTTGACCTACACGTTAGAATAAACAATTAATTGCCAAGTTAATCACTGTGCGTTAGGTAAAATGTGTCAAGTAATTAGCTTACTGGGAGAATATATTGACTGGCTAGATTTATTGGAAGTAACAGAAAACAATTGAATATGTGAAAAAATAAATTATACATATACAGGGTGTCCCAGAACTCGCGCCACAGAGAAAAAGGGAACATGCCAAAAGTAATGTGAAGCACATATTTGAAAATTAAAATTATCTAACGCAAATAATAAGCGAGATAAGAATAAAAAACGATAGCCAATCCCAATAGATGGTCATAGGGAATTCTTTAAATTGCTAGGATACTTAGGATGCATTGTTGATAATAAAAATATGTAAAATATTTGGTTGACTGGAATCTACTTCATTGCATAGATGACCGAAGCAGTGACTGCTGTCAATCTTTGTTCCATTATGTTTCAATGTTTTCCTTCGCTGATGATGATTATTTATGGGGAGTATGGACGCAATGCTAGGGAGGCAGCACGAGTTTTATTCAACGCTTTCCCGATCGTCCCCTGGACTACCGCGATAACCAGAGAACGGCCGAAAATGAAAAAACTTTACGCTATTACGCTATTTTAATAGGTAGGTATACCTAGAATTTTTTATTTTTAAATTTGGCATCTCAATTGCTATCGGCGCGCCCCTTTTTTCTCTGTGGCGCGAGTTCTGGGACACCCTGTATATATATATATATATATATATATATATATTAGGGTGGCCCAAAAAAAAAGAATATTTTTTTTCTTCTCGTCTCTTGTGAAAATATGTTGGTTTAACATGCTGTAAGAGCCCTTTCAAAATATCAGCTCGATTAAAAATTTTGTAGGGGTCGCTCAAGATTTTTAAAAATTTTCAAAATCGTCAAAAATTGAATTTTTGTTTTATTTTAATTCTTTTTCTCGTCTCGATATTATTTTTTAGATTGAAAATAATAAAAATTCTGTAAATTTCAAATCAATATTTTGATTTCTAAAGGTCGCTAAAAGTTCGTTGATATTTATATTCAGAGGTCGCTCGAAAACATTCAAAATACTCTACTTTGAAAGTTAAAAAAATCTTGAGCGACCTTTAGAAATTAAAATATCGATTTGAAATTTTCAGAATCATTATTATATTTAAATAAAAAAATAATATCGGAACGAGAAAAAAAATTAAAATAAAAAAAATCCAATTTTTGACGATTTTGGTAATTTTTAAAAATCTTGAGCGACCCCTAAAAAATTTTTAATGGTGCTGATCTTTTGACAAGGCTCTTAAAACATGACAAACCAACATATTTTCACAAGAGACAAGAATAAAAAAAATATTCTTTTTTTTTGGGCCACCCTAATATATATATATGTATATTAACCTAACAAAATTAATAGAGTGCCTACAAAATCCAATTTCAGTTTTTTTATATTTAATCCTCAAGCGGTCACAGTTGCATCTGAGATTTCTTACTGACAAGTCGTGTGAGTAAGTGCTTGACAATATTACAACATACGTTCTAGTTTTACAAATATAAAGTAATTTGTCTAACATGATCCAATTTACATGCTATTGTCTTTGTCTATTTACTTGAAAGAGGTACTATTCATATAAAAACATTAATTTTGACAGGTTAACTAATAATAAATGGAATAACTTATAGGTAATTCCGTATACCTACTAGTACCAAGTAAATTTTATCCGTTTTGTAGTTACTTTCCTGTTATTTCGATTGAGATGTGTATATGAATAAACATAGAATTAATTTTAATTAATGCATGTGACAAATTGGTATTCTAACAAATAAATTGGTATTCTAACAAATAAATAAACACAGTATATTTTAAAACGGCCAACCATATTTTTAATAGTTATTTACCTAACTAGTGCGAAAGTGCTTCTTTTCCGCATGCGGCTGACGATGAACGAACGACACTGCGTGTTATGTTACAATATTTTTTCGCACGCTTGTAGTAAATTTATTTTACCTAAATCGAGCGGAAAGTGCTTCTTTTCCGCACGCGACTGACGTGGAGTTCGATCATCAGTCGAGTGTGGAAATAACACGTTCTGCGCGTGTAGAAAGTAACTGGGTGCAGAAAAGTGCAACTTTTCGCACGGTTATGTTGCGTGCGGAAATAAGCAACTTTCCGCACGCTTGTAGAAATATAACTATTTTCATTATTGTATTACTATATTTTATTCCATACTAAATAATATGATTTTAGGGAAAAAAAGTGTGCAAATTAAAATGCAGTGGTCAATGTCATGAATAATAGGATGTATCTATGAATTATATGCGAATGTTTCATTAGAAGAAGTTGGGTTCAGATTTGCGAAATGTGGAAGAGATAAACGAATTAATATAATGCATATAAACGTACTGAATGATCTCATAACTCAGATTCCTAGAGGCCAAATAATACTAGTTCCTAATAGAGATTTAAATTTAAGTATGCCATACACAACACCAGCAACACCATTGAATGATCACACCACTGATAATGTAAGTCCATACAAGGTCATGCAATTATTACATTACATGTCGCTCAGGAAAAACGGTTTCTACTTTTATTCAGTTTGTCACAAACTTTGTGAGAACTAAGAGATCCAATGCATTTTATTGCGGTTTGTATAAGAATATTGAATTGGGAAGGATTAAAAAAAGTTGTATTAGCGAAATGTAATAATTAAATCATTAAATTTTTTAAAACTAATTTAAGTAGTCCCATATCGCTAACGTTATAACCATTAGTGTCCGACCGAAGGAGATTTTATCGGCTGAAGGCAATGTTCGCTTATTTTAAGACCTTTCGCCGAAGGTATGATTTTATTAAATTAATGTATAAAACATTTAACCTTCGGCCAAACATTCAGCTTCGGATAAATTTTAGCCGGATGTTTGGCCGAAGCTGAATCTTCGGTCGGACACTATAGCTTACTAACCATATTATTATTATTTAGCACGATCAAAATATCTCAAACGATAATGAAGAGTTTCAAGAATCAACAAACAACTCGGATAGCGATTTCGAAAATACCCCGCCGAGGCCAAGAAGGCGTTCATATGTACCGAGGCAAAATGATTTAGATTTTCGAAGGGACTTTATTAATTCACCTCCACCAAGTACAGCTACCAGAGCTTCCTCCTCCAGACGACAATCGTCTGAGAGAGAAACTACAGGTAAATCAATAGAATAACGACTTTTACGAGGGGTAAACAACCAAGCCAAATTTGTAAACCTAATATGCAAAGCGGCGTAATACCAAAGTTTAAATATATATATTTAATCTTTGGTAATACTTCAAAAAATTACCAGGTAATTATTACTTCGTATTACTTATTATCACCAAGTATTATTATTTAATATTGTTGTATTACTCGGTATTACTTGATATTACGTCTTATTACTTGGTATTACGTGAGTGCTGCTGTCTATACTTTTAATTATAAACTCGATTATAAATTAATATTTTAAGGTAAAGCAGCCTATAATGACGTAGAATGGAGGAAATAACAAATTTTTCATCCAGTATCATGTGATTTTACGAAATATTACATTAGTTTACGTGATATTACCTTCTCTTACATACTATTACTTGGTAATACATATAAAATGTAATAGATCACATCATAGTTGTACAGCTATTATGCCACTGGTTTACCCCTCAGGCTTTTATTAATGTTTCTAATTTTTTTATAATTAAAAATGTTTTAGTCAACATTGGTCTTCATGATCTCCATGCCTTTGAAATAGAAGAGATTGAAACAGTTACTGATATAAGTTTTGAAGAAATCGAATATCCTGAATTACCTGCTAACAACGAGGATGTTATCGAAGTGTCAATTAGGAGGGATAATGTCTTGGAAGAGGTGTTTAAACTGTATGATGAAAATGAGGGTTTGGTTCAAAGAAAGATAAAGTTGAGTTTCGAAAACGAATCGGGATTAGATTATGGAGGACTTACCAAGAAGTTGTTTTCGGAGTTCTGGAAAGCCTGTACGCGTGATTACTTTAGAGGAGAAAATCGTACCGCTCCGTTTTTACCATTGTCAAAAATTCGAAAAGGACTTGATCATAAATTCTGCTTAATAGGAAGGGTGTTGGCACACAATTTAATTTTGACAAAGACAATTCCTATTAAATTATGCAAATACGTTTTTTTAAAACTCGGATCTTTGGACAACGACATACCTCAATCTATCTTACTGGAGGATTTTTTTAACTTCTTGACACCATCGGAAGCATGCTTATTACGTAAAGCTAAACTAGCATATCAAACACTGACCGAAAAAGACAAGGAACTGCTTTTAGATTTGTTCTCTACCTACGGGCTATTGGAAAACCCGAATGCTTCGGAAATTGAGGATCAAATAGTTACAATCGCGGAGAATGTCCTGTGCCAAGAGAGTTTTCCCTTTATTAAGAAAATAAAGGACGGAATACCTCTTTTTTGTGAACATTTTTTCAGTAATTTGACTGAAAGTAAAATAAACTATCTATTCAAGAAACAGGCAGCTACCGCGTCAAAATTTTTTGAAATTATGATCACAACACCAGAGGAGTTAAATAATCTGCAAACGCGGATTTTATACTTTTTTAAGACTTACATAAAAAACTTAACAGATGAAAAACTTCAGAGGATGTTATTTTTCATTTCGGGATCCACAAATATGCCTGAAAGAGTCGTTGTAGCTTTCACAGCTAGTGGCTATCCTGTAGCGCACACTTGTTCTAACACTTTAGAATTGGCATTATCCTATTCGTCATACCAGGAAATTAAACTACATTTTGATGCTATATTGGACAACGAAACCGCATTTGAATATTCGTATCTTTAATGGTATTGTTTAATGTTTGGCAGGTCTTACAGCTATTGTTAACCCCTGTATCTGTATTGTTGCTGTCATTTAAAATTTCTTGTTAGAAGAATAATGAACACTAGATTAACAACAGCTCAAAGATCTGCCAAAGAGAAACATTTAAATTTTAGTACCTACTGTGTTTTTGCCAAAGAGAAACATTTTAATTTTAGTACCTACTGTGTTTTTGAGAGAATTATTTTTATTTTTTTAGAAGTTTATTTATTAATGTTTTGGATGGGCCATTTCAAGCATGCGGACAGGACAAATAAAAAAAATGTTTTTATAAAAACAATTGTAGTTAATTTATGGTACAATTATATAGGCATTAAAATTGTCAAATATATTCTTTTTTTATTAGGCTACATATTAAATAAAAGAAACGCAAGCAATATTTTATAAAAGTAGAGATAATTAGTTTACCATTGTGGACAAAACAAGAGAATATTGTTCTTGTCCCGTCTACAACTGTAAATTATTAAAATTATCTCTACTTTTTAAAAATATTGCTTGCGTTTCTTTTATTTAATGTATAGCCTAATAAAAGAATATATTTGGTAATTTTGATGCCAAAATAATATATTATAAGTTAACTACAATTATTGTTTTTATTAAAAGTTTTGTGATATGCCTGTAGGCGCGCTTGAAATGGTCCGAGTGTGACTTATTTTGTTTTAAATCTTTAATAAAAAAAAGTAAAACCCAGGCTGTCTGAACGAGTGTTTTATTTCAAATTTTGTTACACCCTATGATGTACGTATAAAACTAGCGTAAATCAGCTCAAATGCTGTTTAAATAGTTTCTTAATCGTATATATTTAGTTTTCCAATCTAATGAATTGTCCTCCATAATCCCAGTCATAAAATTATTTTGTTCATCATTTAATTCTATTTGAACTGTTAAGTTCGAAGCAGTTTCCTGATCTTGATTCATAACAATATTCTTCTGTCCATTTTCTTACAAAAACACAGCAAACTGTTAGGTATTATAGATTAGGAACCAACCATAGAACAACACATATTCCCGCCAACGGTTGGCTAACCTGCCGCGCACTGCACCGTCTTACCAGAGACAACACCTTAAAATCCTTAAATCTAGTGTTTTTTGTTTCCCCTAGACAGGTCTGCCAAACTTTTTACAACATTCGTATATTGTCAAAAGTCGAATGCAATACTTGTATTTTAAGTAAAGTTTAAGTTTTTTCAACATTCAAGTGTTGCAATAAGTATTTATACAATATCTGCAAGTTTCCAAAACTATTAGTGACGTCTTTTAATGTAAATACAACTCTTTGGGTTTCCGCAACATACGATAATTGCCAAAACTCTTCGAGTTTTTGCAATATATGATAATTGCTAAAACTATGTATAATATTTAACTTTTCTCCATAAAAGCTTTACTTTTTCCCATAAAGCACAATCGCATAAACCTTAACAATTACAAAGTGAGTTTTTGCAATCTATGACAATTGCAAAAAGTATTTTAACTTTTATATTCTTTTAATTAATAAGGTTTTTCAACACACGAGTGTTGCAATAACTATTTATACAATAACCTGCAATTTTGATTTGCAAAATTATTATTCGAAGTATTGTGATTTTGTATTTGATTGCGATTTTGATTTTGACTTTTAAAGTAGTTATTTATATTATGTTCCTGTTTCTTACAGTAATTACCAAATATTTGATTCCTTGATTTGTTGGGGTTAATAAAGTTAGAGTTTGGAAAATTATTAGGGAAACTATTATTTTTATTAAAAGTTTAATTATTTCTGTTAAAATTGTTATTGTAATTTCTATTTGGGTAAAATGTTTAATTATAATTTTTATTAAGCGTTGATTTAAAATTTTTGGTATTTTTGAAATATGAGAGTTGTGTCTCTCTTTTTTTATTCTTAAATTGGCTTTTAATAAGTTTTTAGGATTGCTGGCACGAACAATGGTTTCGATTCCAGATCATTATCAGGTTAGCAAGGTGTACAGGCAAATACAGTATTATCTACCAAGGCACATTGACTAATTTTCTGATCGGCATTAAGATTGGAAGCGTAATAAGAAATTTAAATCTCTACTATCTCCAAAATGTGAAGTTAAGATAGTTTTAATTTCTTGCCATTGGGTAATATTTCTGGAATTTATTAACTGGGAAGCTTTACCTTTAAGTTTAGTTTTAATATGAATAAGAACTATTTCAACTTATAAATAATCTGATAACTTTAACGCTGTTTCGCTTTACTTTATAAAATAATTCAATAATATTTGGTGTTCATCGTATTCGGGTATAATGGAAAAAGATCTGTTAACTTTACGGGGGTTGTAGCTGCGTTATTAGTTTTAACATCATTCTCATGAATAGACATTATATTAAATTATTTAAAACTTAAAACGACAATAAAATATTCAAGGAATTAACAAAAAAATATAGGATACTGCTTATTGTGAACTTACAGTTGCATTATCGGTACACTGGAGTCTAAGGTTGTTTTCTATTTTTCTTGGTTGCTGTAGAGTCTATTTGTTCCAAAGGACTGGGTCCACCGTCGAAATTCTTCTAATTTTGGCGTGAAATCCATACGACTGCGCCAATTGCTGCGGGACCGAATTAATAATTGTCTTTTTAAAAATAATTGATTTTATTTTAAAAACACATTTACAATTTTGATTATTTAATAGCAAAAACTATAAAAGAATAAATGCTGGATTAGCAGCAGGTGCAGATGATTTGGTAATATTGTGCAATAGGATTTGTCAGGACATATAACATGCATGTTATATTATATTAATTTACATATTTTTATATTTATTTATTTGTTATAATTATTTTTCCATTAAGAATTTCAGTTTTAGATTTATTGTCTATTCTTAAGTTTTAGATTAATATTTTTCCTTTAAATAATAATTTATTGTTTTATACACTATTTATTTGTAATTTGGAACCTTGTTATAAAAAAGACTAATTAACTTATTTTTGATTCTTTATTTTACTATTATGTTACGATTACCATTCCATTAATTATTATTAAAGCATTATTAACAATTATTTTACTTATAATAATATATTGTTTTATACACCTTTTTTTTTGTATTTTGAAACCTTTATAAAATGTTATAAATAAGACTAAGTAACTTATTTTTGATTCATTATTTTACTATTTTATTACGATTGCCATTTCATTAATTATTATAAATGCATTATTAACGATTATTATACTTTCTTAAAATATTAAAATAAAACTTAAAGGATATAAAAGTGCATTCATAAATAAAACCTAAATAGGAAATAAAGTTGGTTTTATAAAAATTAATCTTGAAGAAAACCATCCTTAGATGCATATGCATAATTTAAAATGTTTATTTGTAAAATTAATAATATTATAGTAATTTTGTTCTGATTTGATTTTTTAAGTAATAATATTTTATATAAGTGTATAATATCATTATAAATATACTATTTTAATATTACAAATTTTTTATTTTATTATTGTTGTATATTTTAAATGCATATATGTCCGCCTTAATGTAGGTAATGCAGAACACATGTAAAAAGACCATCATATATTACAACAGTGGCATAGAGAATAAAAAAATTAAGTATAATTTAAATATTTTACTTTATATAATATACTACAAATTTTTAATATTTGGATTGTGAAATAGTCAATAAAATTGATTGTTTTATACGTGGAATACCAGCAACATTTAAATTATTTGAATTTGAAACGACCGCAATTTAAACTAATATTTATAGCTAGATGATTGGCTCAGAAGCACGCCTGAATTAATTTAGACTCACGATTGGCGTTAGCCTTGTTGTCTCGTTCTATTAAAATGCGATATCATAGTTGTCTCCTTCTCTCCTATTAGCATACGCGAGGCAGGCACGCCTACATCCAAGAAAATAAGCAGGTGTGTTCAATAATAAATGGTATTATTTTTTTTATAATAAATCGATTTAATCGAAATTTTATTTCTATTCTAAAATAAACATATTTTAACACTATCGCCATCTTGTAGCCATCACAGTAACCAATTAAATAAATACAGATTCCTTCTTTAGGTTTTTTGGTTATAAAATTCTGAACTGTGTAAAGAACAAATCTGTGGTTATTTACGCAATATTTGGTTTATTCTTTTTCTATGAGTTTGTCTATTTTATGATTCTTTTGTACGTGGTTTATTCTGTGGGTTTGGTTAATTAAACTTGGTGATTTATTTGAATTTAGTCATTATGGACATTAAGTAAGAAATTGTACCGATATTGTTGAGTTATATTTATTTTGTTGATTGTTTCGCACGGTTCCCATTTTTATAAGGAGAATTTAGTTTTAGTTTTTAGTTATACGCAACTCATTTATCCCTTTTTTCTCTCCAGTTTCCCTTACTTCCCTTCAGTTCCGCTTCCCAGTTTCCCTTTTTCCCGGCAAGATGGTGTACTATTATTAATTTAATGATTAGGGCTTAAACCTAATGGTTATATTAATAATGCTGCACTTTACCTCTACACCTTCACGTGGTTCTTGCTGAACAATAAAATATTAATTAGACAAAAATGAGGTTCATTTAAAATAAACGTCATTTATACAATAAAATATATTTGATTGACAAAGTAGAGGATTCTAAGTTTTTTATTTAGTTTTAAGTATAGGTTGTGAACTGCGACGTCAGTTTTTTTAAGTTGGGTTTAAAAAAATTTCTTCGCCTTTAAATGAGGGCGAAACCCTGCCTCTGCCTCACCAAAATGAAATGTCACAGGCCGCCACTGTATTACAAAATGGCAAACAAGACAGTAGCGAAATAAAAGATGCTGTACATTTCGTGTATTATTGTAATATCGAAGAACCCGAGGACACAACAGTTTTGTGGCGACGAGGATAGTGATAAGCAATGAAAAAGTGGTCTTCCTTGTGGGAATCGTGAAAATAACAAAAAAAGGCGTGTCGGCTTGTTTTTCTTGTCACAATGGCGTTAATCGGAAGCCAG